TGAAGCTTAAAACGTTCTCAAGGACAACAGCCTACCAGGATTAAAAAAAAGATTTCGGAAAAAAGAATATCTGGAAGTCTGTAAAATAGTTTCTTCTTTTGATATTATGGTACAGAAAATGGACTTTTCTTAGTCTCCCTATACTTAGATTGACAGAATCCTTTTTTTTTTTTTTTGGTTTTTTACGGTTTATCTACCCTTTGTGGGTTAGTTAAATCCTAAACATACTTTAGATTGTAAGAATATTTTTTGCGAGTGATTATTGGATTAACAAATTTTGGAGATAACTGGAATTTTTCCAGATACAACTATTACAATTTAACCCTTGGAAGAGATGGATTAATACCTTTCCCATGTGTATTTGCGAGTAAGTGAATGTAAAGAGATCGACTAGAATTCGAAATCGGCTCTCCGAAGTTAAGCAACGTCGAGCCCTGTCAGTACCGAGATGGGCGACCGTTTGGGGTTCCAGGTACTGTAAGTTTTCGTTGTTCGGGTAGGATAATGGCTCGGAATTGTTGATCGGAGAGCCAAGTCCCAATCCCAGTGGTGTTCGCTATATTCACTTACGCACAAATAGTATTGGAAAAGGTCTAAATTCACATATTCTCCTCCAGCTATGGGTTAATTAGTAAAACTTGTATCACCAAATCATTTATATCTCGAAAAATTTCTTACAATCTAAAAAAAAAACATTTTCTGATTTTAAATAACCTGCAAACGACTGATACGCCGTAGGAAACGAATTGATTAATCAACCCCCTTTCTGGTTTCTTATTTCAAGCACCATCAGCAGACCCCCTTATGCTGAGAAACCACTGATGTAACTCGTGTTATCAGATTTAACTTTTTGGAATTCGCAAAAGGCTAAATTTTGTCTGTGTCTCCCCACCTTACAGCAATAGAATAATACCGTTTCTGTCACTAAATAAACGTTCCATATATTATTCCACTAATACTAACTAAACGTTCCATATATTATTCCACTAACACTAAATAAACGTTCCATATATTATTCCACTAACACTAAATAAATGTTCTATATATTATTACAAACCAGTGTTTACTATACCCTGCATTCATTTCGTTTTTATTTTATGTCAACTCCTAAATCAATATTTTATAATTTCCTTACACACACACACACACACACACACACACACACACACACACACACACACACACACATATATATATATATATATATATATATATATATATATATATATCCATATGAAATGAGAACGAATCGAATATATCTTCCAACGTTCGCATCATTAATTTAAAAGAGGGTATTCTTTATTTTAGGATATATACATCATCATGAGAATAAAGGCTACATAAATGCAATCATTTGAATAAATTATCTACTAACCATTCATTTAGTGACTCCTGATGAACAAAATTGTCCAAATTGTATAGCAGTAAAATTGTATGATTGTTAAATTAATCCCTGAACCGTTGTCTTTTAGAAATGATTAAAGATATCTTACTGGAATTCTCTGAGTGTTTTATAACACTATTGAACTCTACTTTGAGCAATAAGAATGTATAATTACTCTCCAAGCTTAACAGAAATATCGTAATGAAATCGATCATAAACGAAAGTGATATGTTCATCATTGATTAATCATAACTAAGGATAAGAAACTCATGAAGGATTGAAATTAAGTTTATATATATATATATATATATATATATATATATATATATATATATATATATATATATTATTCCAAAATCATTTAACAACTTATTCAACATGATTATCGCCCTATCCAACCTTCTAATTTTCTGTCTTGGAGTAACTTGTTGCCTCACAGTTTTCACATACCATTTTATTTTGAAGTTGTTTTTCACTATTCTTTGGACTGTCATAGCTGGAACTTCTCTCTCACATGCCAAATGTGTTATGGATCGAGTTGGATCTTTTCTAATTGATCGCTTCAGCTCTAAGTTGAAATGATGACCCCTCTTGCTATTGTGACCTCCTGATCTAGTTTTCCTTTCTACTGTTCCCACTTTTTTAAACTTATTCACCGTTCTTGAATGGACTTTGACGCTGGAAGCTAAAGTATGAATGTTGGTACCATTAATCATGCAAGACTCTTCGGTAAATCGAATCGAGTTCTCTCAGTCACTGTGTGTTTATCTAAAAATAAATACACTTAAATTCACTTTATCAGTGCCCTGCGCCAACGGCTTAGTGGTAGAATCCCCGACTGACGCCGATTCTGTCGGATTTCGATCCTAGCTAGAGACAACCGGACGTTTAGTCACACTGATAGGCTGCGAAACAGTATGTCTTGCTTTTATTAATGTTTATTATAAATTTTTTTTAAAAAATTTTAAATATACTTTTTTTATTTTTAAAAACATTTTAAATATTTTTTCTTCATATAAACTATCTAAAAACGATTCATTGTTAATCTTGTTATGTTTTATTTGAAAGCATATTTTGGTAATTTTGAGTCATAATCGTTCTAGCGAGACAAGCTTGCCAAGGTGCCTCGAGATGCCCTAAATGATTTTCCAAGCTTAGCGTAGATGCAGCACAAGGCCGAAAGTATGGGGCACCCAGTGAGGATTGAACTCACTACTCAGTCGTAATTGTTCTAGCAAGACAAATGCTTGTTAACCATTACACAACGTCGAGGTACCCTTAAATGATTTTCTAAGCGTAGCTTAGATGTGACACAGGGCCGAAAGTATGAGACACCCAGTGATCATCGAACTCACTAATCAGTCGTAACTGACTAGCGAGACAATCCTTCTAATCATTGCGCCACGTCGAAGTGCATATATATATATATATATATATATATATATATATATATATATATATATATAAGCAAATATATGGATATAAATCCGACAGTATGAAAAAAAATATACTGAAACGACGTGATCATATTTAAACGAAACGCTGATCTTATAAAAGATTTCAGTGATCTGTTTGGATTGGTATTGCTTTTATGTCCATCGTCTTTTTCATGTTGAATTGTATATGGTCTATGTTAATTATGTTTTATGAATATGTCCTGAAGATGGTCTATTACACCGAAACGTCCGACGTTGACATTAAACATTAAAACAGCATAATCGCATATTAGGATTTTGTTTTTTTCAGTATATTTTTCTTCATATATATATATATATATATATATATATATATATATATATATATATATATATATATATTATAAACAGAGCATTTACTTAAATATTTGTATCTATAAAAAGAACGTATAAACATAAAAATGTCTTAAATAATTGTCGGACTTTGTCATTTCATTTCATATATATATATATATATATATATATATATATGTGTGTGTGTGTGTGTGTGTGTGTGTGTGTGTGTGTGTGTGTGTGTTATTTGTTTTATAGTTTTTACGGTGTTCATTCAACGTTGATTTATCTATAAAGTTTAAGTAATCAGTATCAAGCAAAGATCATTATCATTTTGACCAGCATGTAGTTACAAATAGGGACAATGATTTAGTTCAGTTCTAATTTCTCTCATCACATTGCTTGCTTATTTTTTTCATGGGCAATGACCACCAAGCATACTTAGAAACTCGTATTGAAATGGCTTAAGGACATAGTCAAGCTCTGGTCTCTTTTCCTCCAGAAAATACGTGGGCGGAAAAATAATATCGTCTGCAAACATGGATGACTATAAACCCGACTAATTTACAACATTTCTGTGAGAAGAAATGGGTAAAAATTGCAATAACTTATTGTGAGAATATTTTCAGTCACCAAGGAAACATTTGACCCAAGTTTAAA